GTTCACCTCTCCGTTGGGCTCTTAAAGTCACGGTTCTGCCTCGGAAGTAGTCCCTTACTACTTAGTAACTACTAAGTAGTAGTACTACTTACCTAGTAGATGTTATTCGGACATCGCCGTCTTCTCAGAGCTCTCAAAATCTCTGGCCACCAGTTGGAGTTGAAAGCTCCAGAAATATAAAGGAACAATCCTACTACGTATTTCGTATTTTACTTCCGTCTCTTCTACTTCTCTTCTCATATCCAGAAGTGAGTCTATCGTTCCAACCCTTTCCGTGAATCCATATTGTAGTAGATTTGCCTTATATTTCCTATCCATCCTTTCTTTCATCCTTTTCACAATAAGTCTTTTGCCTAGCTTTCCTAAAACCGGTAAGAGGGTCACTGGCGTGTATGTTTTAACCTTACTCGGGACCTTTTCCTGGCTCTTCAGAAAAACTTTGACGATGCCTTTTTTCCACACGTCAGGAAACCTGCCTTCTCTCAGCATCTTGTTGTACAGGTTCAACAGCGTCCCCTTGATCCGTCCAAACATTCTCTTAATCACTTCGTTCTTGATTCCATCGACACCTGGGGCTTTCCTATCCCTCAGCAGTGCAACGCATGCAGTTAGCTCTCCTTCCCTGAGATCGTCCTCATCTGTTCCAGTGCTTTCATCATCAGTCATCCTACTTCTGATTCTTGATTGTTCCTCTGTATCATCCTCTTCCCTATCATCTGGCAGCGATCCTTGTATCATTCTCTCTAGGGTCTCTTGCACTGTCTCCGTCATTATACCGTTTTCTTTTTCCAGGCTAACCAGCACAGTATCCTTTTTCAGCTTCTCTGCAGCAATCTTATAAACCTTTCCCATGGGTAATTCTCTTGCTCCGCAATTATCTGTTCCCACATCTTCTTTTGCTTCCTGATTCCCCAAACGTAATCTGTCCTTGACCTAACAAATGCTCTCCTATCAACTTCACTCCCTGTCCTACTCCAGATCCTACATTTCATTCATTCATTCTGTAATCCTTTCTGCATTAACTTCTGCTGTAGCCATTTCAAATTCCATTTCCTGAGTGCTTATCTGCAGAGCTTTGTCAAGTTTCGCCCAGTTTACCTTCCTTAAGCAGTATGATCCTTGCCTCTGTTCATCCTGGATTATCCGATTAATTTGATCTCCTCGCAATTTCAAGTTGTAATTATAAGTTGTAGTTGTAATTAGCCTATGATCACTTAACGCCTCTTCATGAACTAATGAGTCCTCCATTTTGCCTGAAAGATCCCTTGTCGCCAATGTCAAGTTAATGTTTCATTTGCCTCCCTGTGTATTTTCAAACGTCGTCCACCTACTGAATTTATTAAGAACCTGCAGATCCCAAGCCAGTACAACATCTTCTACCTGAGATCCTCTCTCATCCGTTGATCCACTGAGCCATAACCCTGACCTCGCATTCAAATCGCCACCACACAACACTCCTTTGCTCCCTTTCTTTCTAATTATATCAGCGAACCATGTCATATGCCCGTCTATGGGTTCCAATAGCATACAGTACAAACTGATCACTTGCATCCATCATATTCCAGCCTAACACTGACACACGTTCCATTCGTTTCTCTGGCTTTTATGATAGCTCTGAACTTCTCATTCTGACAAGAATAGCACTCCAAATATCCTCCCTTCTGCTTCGATCATGAAAAACCCTACATCCTGTAATATTTACCTTTCTGCCCACTGTCTATCGCTCCTGGACCAGAAGGACGTCGATCTTTTCCTGTAAACATCTTCTAATCACCTCATCTGTAGCTGCCTTTTCCCTACCTAAATTCCACTGGGCTATCCTACAATCCATAATCAATCTTCTCATTGTTCCTCTTCACTGTCTTTTCATAAGCAGGACACTTTCTTGACCCTGCATCGTGCCTCAGATCACCTCGATTTTCTCTTTTGCAGTTGGCACAACAGACTGCTTCTTCCTTTTTCTTATTTAGACACTCCTTGTAGTCATGTTTACCAGCGCAGTATGAGCAGCTAGGCGTTGTCGCAGTACAACAGGGGGTTTTGTTACATTATTTTGTTTGTTCATTATTTATAATTAAATTGCAAAAGTTTACATTCCATACATAGATAGATCCCATAAACATAACCTTTCTTTAATAGCCATAATAAAACTCTGAAAAGTGTCAAAATCCTGTGACATTTTACAAAAGAAGTCACTTCACGAACCACAAAAAAACAAAAAAGAAAAACTTACCTTTTGATTAATCTAGGACTACTGGGGGTTGAGTCGTGTACTGGTAGGGTCTGAGACAAGTTGGGGGTCCGCGTCGCCCCATTAGAATGCGTTCTATTTGCACTTTTATATAATGTACAATGTACATATATGGTATATACGGTGTATATACCATGTACATGTAGTGTATGTACATGTATGTGTTCTATGTCATCTGGATTTAACAGCCAGCGAGTCGAGTCCAACCAAACTCCAAGAACTTTGGTCATCCAACCAGGGTCCGACCAGTCGGCTAGTGTGCGCTGTTCTATTTACGCCTATTATAAAACTGGTCGTATCTGACCGGTCAGAGTCGTGGTCGTGGTCATTGTCGGGCTAGTGCGTGCCAGCCCTAACCCATTAAAAAGTCAATAGGGGGTGTCCATACTTTTGCCTAGCCCTGTATAGGGGTCGATTTAAAAATTTTTATTAAGAAGCTAGTCCACGGGACATATGCAATAACACCTACTATCTACCCCAAAAACAATGGTGGTAAATTAAAAAGTATTACAGTAGAACCTCTTTAATCCGAACCCCTGTAATCCGAACGTCCACTAATCCGAACCCCTCATTGCTGTACTCTATACACAATACAGCAGTTCTTTATTGTATAATGTATTTAATGTACAGTACTGTTTATTCACCATGTATTAAATAAACACTGTATATTAATTTTAAAAAAACATTTGTTCACTTTTCCCAAAATAATTTTGATCAATTTTAGCCATGTTTTAAGCTATTGTTATATGAAAACAACAATATGTTCTGTAATCCGAACTATTCAATAGTCCGAACTACCCCTGGTCCCAATTAGTTCGGATTAAAGAGGTTCTACTGTATACAGTTTTTAAGATATCTGTAGGTTTAATATGTAGCTGCTTATTATGGTCTAATTTTATTCCCACATCTCGGAGCTGAAGATATATTAATAATGGTACAGACAATTTTGAATTTAGATTATAACACTGTTTTTAGTTTTAGGGGAGGGGGTAGATATTACTTCAGCTGTCACATGACTAGTTTTTCATCAAAACTTTGAAGTTGGCTTTTACATAGTAGACCTAGAGATATCTTAAACTCGCTAGAACCCTTTTGAGTTTTGATTATATCACTTTTTTATTGGGGTAAGATATTAGGCATTTGGCATTTGCTTTTAGGCACAGTCATCTGAATGCTTCTGATAAGGAATATTCAGTGTCGACTTCCAAATTCCTTAATAAGGAATTTGGAAGTCGACACTGAATATTAGACTACTTCAAGTAATCCCCCAAATTTCAAATTATTAAAACATTTAGAACCTATTACTATAATTATTGAAAATCACTTAATATATAATTACAAAAAACATAGGAGTGAGGAAATTTATTACTACTCTGTATTTTATTTTTTAATATTGATTCAACATTTTAAAATCTTTTAGATAATTATTGAGAATTCTTTTTTGTTTGATAAAATAATTGTTACACACTGGAAATATTCTGGTGACCATGTGTACCAAATTCTAATACTGTACCTATAACCAAACAATTGTAATCAGCACCTAAGTTAATCTGTAAAATCGGCAAATAATCACATTTTTATTTGGTTTGAGGAATATGCAATTTTTCCGTTTAAAATCAGTTGAAACTCTTTCATGACAAATATAGCAATATGTACCCAAATTGACAACATACCAACCAACGCTTCTATCAGTAGTTGATTTCTGATAAAAAGAGGACAACTAATTAAATACTTGATGGTTGAATGGAAAACAAAAATATTGAATACCTTCAACTAGTACTTACTAAACTGAAGTACTGACATTTTGTGGGAAAATTGTTTTAATTAAGAGTGGGGAAATTTTCAAACAGTCGTTGCTCGGGGACTATTCAAGATAATTTAATGATTTGGATGTCAAATTGAAGGGAAAAGAACAAAGTTTTTTTCTCATACTTTGATACAATTAGAATGATTTAATAAAATTCATAGCTTCATCAATCTTATATGAGCGTAAAACTGGCTAAGTCTGTACGCTTAGGGCGAGCGGCAGGTTTATCTGATCTCTTAACTGAATCTCTTTAGGCACAAAGACTCTACATCTTTTATAGATAACATCATAAAGTGTTAATGTTAGATATGTTCAACTGAAGACTTCCTCGGGCAATTTATTTTTTAGGGATTCTAATGTAGAATTGTCGGATTTCTTCGACGATGTCATCGTTTGTTTTAGCCGGCCAGGTGAATGTCTTTTCATAACACTACGGTGCCACGAAACTCATTAAATCAGTGTCAAATTTCTTTATCATCAAGTAGATTGAAATTTTGTTTATTTTAGCAATCGATATAAACTCTGTGAACCACAGATTACACTGTGCCTTCTGTTGCCCCGTAAACATCGTACTGGCGACTGGAGTCTGGCGCGTGAATCGCAATAGCGGCCTACCACCCCGCACCTATTTTGCGCATGCCAAAGTCAACGTTTCCTCCCTTGCTACACCCTACACGGGAAACAAAACTTAGTTATTTTAGCTTAAATTTGACGGATAAAATGTTTGGTTACCTTGAATAGTATCCAAGCAATAACAATTTTAAATCCCGGCATTTGTTTATAAACACCCTGTATAGGTTTTATGATAAATAAACTTGGATTAATGCTCTTTCAAATGATTTATCATATTCTATCTCCATGAGATTGGCCATTTTATTGCTGCACTTGATCTAATAATTTGTTTGGATTCATTTGTTTCACAAACAACATTGTTTGTTTCAGATAAAGAAGAAAAATAGGATCTAACTCACCGCAGATAATCGTCAATTGTGATTCATTTTAAAGAGAGCTTTTTCGTGTGATAGGTTCTCAGTCTCAGCCACCTAAATATTAAAGCTTATAACCCATTTGTCCCTGCTCAACTAGCCTCATAACTGCACTCGTACGGTCTTTACACAACATGTGCTTTTCACAGTCCATAAGTGTAGATTTGTGCCTTTCTCTGACAGTGTTCTTTTATATATATCTCCATATCTCCCAGTAACGTCCAAAGCAGTGATATTAGATGTAGTTCTATAAAGTATTTCACAATCTTAAAATGGGAAGTCTACCAAATTTACATAGTTTGTCTTCTTGGTCGGATATTCAAGCGTTGTACAGTCCACTTCCTAAAGGAAGGAGAGCGAGAAATCCTTCCCCAGTGCGACCTCGGGGAAGAGTGTCGATGATGGACTTTGGCCATCGGCCGGTGAAACACGTTCGCAGTGTGGATCGCAGTATCTACCACGCACTGGACAAACGAGTGCTGGACCACGGTGATCTATCCAAAATAAAGGACAAGCTCCTTGACCGTAAACTGCCCCTGGTGTGTCCCACTAGCACGGTGGTGGCTGCTGCTGCACCCTCCCAACGTGTCATCGGCATCACAGCCCTTACCCATCGACCCTCCAATTTTGAGGTACTATTTTATGTGTACTTATATGTTAATCAAATGTTTTCCAGATTGTTTTTTTAACATAAATAAGTATCTCTTCAGCATTTCTTTACTGATATGAGAATATTAGTATTAATGTTCATTAAAAATTAGCATGTAATTTGGCTGAGATATGTCTCGTGTATTTGGTATCTCTTCAAATGTACCTTTGCAATTACCTGATGTTTGTTAAAAGCAATAGTTGTAGCCTAAATAGCATTTTGCCTTTCGTGCAACTCTCAACCACAAAATAAGCTTAAAGCCTATTTCAAGTTTAGTTAAAGCTTGCTCACTGACCAGATTGTACCGACCCTTCCAACCCTACAAGTAAATCCTATCAGAGTCACTCTTCTCTTAAAAGTGAAAATATAATGAATTTCAAAATTGTTTGCTTTTGAGGAAATAAATTCACTATTATTATAATTGAAAATATTTTACTTTTTGTTATATCAGACAGAGCTGAGAATAATACATTCTAACTTATCACAAAACAAGTATTTTCATGTTTGTTCAACAATCTCTGTTGACAGTTAACTGCAATGTTTTTGTTTTCTATATACAAAACGATTTCCAACAATAAAAGTCTTGCAAAAAAATTTTAAAAAAAGATGCCAAAGTATTTCAAGTACATTTACCTTATTTGGAACAAATGCTTTTAGAAGTTATTATATGGTATTGTTTCAGTTTATCAGGCCTACTATTAATTTATTGTATCGACACTTTTATTTGTTACAGTCAGCAATGACCAACTCATATTCCCCAGTATCAAGCCGTTCGACAATCACTCATCATCACTTCCACGGACTGCATCACCAGAGCAACGTTGTTCGTCACAGAGAGTCTCTCTCAAGCTCCGCCGGAGCCTCATCTGTACGTCGACTGATTGGAGTTGTTAGATCCACTCCATCGCAGTTCGGTCCGGTGTACTCTCGTAGAGTGATTCACAAAAACTGGGCTGCTTTGTGCCTCGCAAATGCACTTCTCACTTCAGCCATAGTTCCTCTGTTAGGTCTCCAGAGCTCCATCTCTTCCTGGTGGTGGCCTCCAGGATCCAAACCTGAGATCTCCCCTAACTGGTTTTATCTGAGTGCTGATATCGGTTCTTTGTTACTGGCATCTCTGTTTGCCATCGGATCTTTATCATCACTATTTATTGTCGCAGTTATAAAAAAACTGGGAACTAATACCACGATAAACATCAGTTATGGATGTGCTTTCCTCTTCTTCTCATCCCATCTATATCCGAAGCTATACACATTGATTCCCAGTTATATTATAATGGGTATCAGCTTAGGTCCTATGGCAGGAGCGAAGGTAACTGCTTTGATGGCCCTAGCTTCTAAATATTCCTTCGTTTTATCAGACGAAGAAGAAGATGAAATAGAGCGAGTCGAAGAGACAAGCAGAAGAGATGCGGTAATTCACAAGCTTGCGAGATGGATGCAAACCACTCAGGACTGTGGTCTTGTTTTAGGAAATCTTCTAACAGGGATGGTTATGGCTTACACTTGGAGTATTGCTCAAGATGTACACGACACTCATGTTGCTATAGACTCGATGTATGCCATAGATGATGTTGGGGAACGAGTGTGCGGTGCTAATGCTTGTCCTGTCACACTTGATTTCCACAGACTCATTCCACCTCCAGAAATTGCAGCCAATCGATCTGATGATACTTCACTCATCCTTCCTTGCAAGTCTTGTATGTTTCTTGCTAGTGTATTTATTGGTTTTGGCATAATGGCTTGGATAGTCGCTGCAGTATTCACTGATCGAATTATCATCTATCAAGATATTTCCGAAAAAAGTGATTTTGCTAAATCATACAAAGTCATGGCAGACACTTTCAAAGATCCCCACCTTCAGCTAATGGTTCCTCTAGCTCTCTACATTGGTCTGACTCAAGGTTTCATGTACGCTGACTTCACCAAAGTAAGTTTATCAAAATTGTTATTGTAAAGAAAGAAATATATCCATGATAAAAGTTAAAAGTAATAACATTTTTAGTAGTTTTTCACAATTTCCCTTTTGAGTTACAAACTGGTAATACTAATAAATGATTTTATAGGTTGGTAAATCTAAAGTTTTTTTAGTAATGCTTGTATTTTTCTTCAGGCAATATTGATAAAAAGGCATTAGCTGATACTGTCAGTAAGCACAAATAGGCTCAATATTAATGTATACTAAATTTGAACAATTTTATTTTTTATTTTTAGCCTCCTGATCACATTTAAATGCTTTAAATTATTGTAAATACCTGCAGTTATGTGATTTGTAATGTTGTGTTAGGGCAATTAGTTTCCACTCAACACTGAAGTAATCTTCAGGCCACTACAGATAGATATATTGTTGTAGCTTCATTTGAATTTCATCAACATTAATTAAATGTTAAATGTTGAACATTGCTAGTTAAATGTTATTGTTATTTATGACACTGTGAATATGACTTCAGTGTTAAATTGAAACTAGTTGGTATTTACAACATTTTTTAGTAAAATGAAAATTTTGTCAATAAATAAAATTCTTTTAGCTCAACTGAAACTTGCTATAAGTGTACAATTTTCATCATAATAGTAATTACCTTATGTACAGGGTGCAGCAAAAAAACCGATCCATTTTCTGCAGAGCACTGTTCAGCGACAGGTCGTCTGAGAGTGGTGGGAGTAGGCTCGTTGGAAAGCCTACACAATGCCATTTTTTTAGTCATAGAGCAGTGGTCGCGTGAGTTACGTGCGGTTGTTATGCAGTTGTGTTTAAAAAGTATTGAATTCATTCATTGCAAATCAGTGGCATCTTCCAATTAAGGCGACATGGAGAAGTTCCGTTGTGTATCACAATAATGCGGTGGGTTACTAACTTTAGAACAACGGCTTCTGCGTTCAAAAGCAAGCTGAAGGACCGTCCAAAGTCAGATCGGACGCCAGGCAACTAACATTCGATAGAGTACGTGCTGCTGTGGAAAAGAGTCCTCGCAAGCCCGCCCGAAAACAAGCGGCTGCCCGCACATATCTGACTGCTCAGTTACACGAGTTTTGAGGTAAATTTTCATCCCTACAGATTAATTAGAATAATAATCTGTTTAATTTTGTTGTACATACCGATAATCATGACGGAACCTCTCCGTCGACCTAAGAGAACAAAAGCACGGAACTGCCACTGAATTGTAATTACTGATCTACTACTTTTTAAAAACGACTGTATAACAACCACACGTAACTCATACAACCACTGCTCTATGACTACAAGAAATGGCATTGTATAGGCTTTCCAACGAGCCTACTCCCACCACCCTCAGACGGCCAGTCGCTGAACGGTGCGCTGAAGAAAATACATCGGTTTTTTTGCCGCACCCTGTAATAGAGAAAGTTTGTATAAACATTACATACAGTTTTTTTTTTTTTCTGTTTACAGTCGTACGTAGTGTGTTCACTGGATGTATACAACATCACGTGGGTATTTGTGGCACTGGGGGTACTGCAATGCATTGCCGGATGTACAGTCAGTCTTGTACTTCAACAAATCAAGAGGATTTACGTCATATGTGAGTAATTAGTAACATTTAATGTTCTAGCGATCACTTGAATCTAGTAAAGATAAGTTAGAAAGTTCTATCAAAACCAAAGGTAAATGTTAATGGGGTGCAGCCTAATGTAATGTAATGTAATGTAAACCTAAATGTAAATGTTAATGGAAGAAAGGAAGAGACAAGAGTGATTTAGCAGCAAAATAGTGATCAACAGATCAAAGTATTGCCTAAAATTAAAGTTGCATATGTAATACAATATGTTATCCTAAAGGAAAGATAAATTAGAGTGACTGATCAGTGCTGCTACCTTTTGGCAACCATTCCATTTTCCATTTTCCATTTCCATTTTGTGTGTCGAAAGAGACAAAGCCAAAGCCCCCCAACTGCAAACCCGGTACCTATAATTAAACATACCCGGGCCCCATGGTGTGGGCCGGAGCATTAGCACCAACATTAGACACACCATGGGTGGATGACTTAAGGTCATCAGGCTCACCGGCTGCCGAAGCAACCCTTTTTCGGAAAGAGGGTTGCCCCTCAATCCTAACCAGGGATACCGGTTACTTGGTCTTACGTCCCTCCAACTGGGTTCCCCCAGGGCCGAAACCCCGACAGACCATGATGGAGTCCATGGACGCAACATAGTGCAAGCGACACTCGGGACCTATCTAATCCCTGACAGGCCATAACCGGCCATCAAAGCCAGGAGGAAGGGGAACCCCCTATTTACACCACTACCCGATCGAAGCCATCCCATTCACTGGGAACCAAGGATAACTACGGCGATAGATCCCCAGATACCCCCAGCGGACTTGATCCCAGCACCCGATCTACTTCGTTTGCCCATCCAACCCAACATCACTGCCGGGCCATCAGGGTTTCCCAAAAGGAGGCAGGTTTAGAATTGGGACCCACCCGGATGAACCTATCCACCAAAGGTGGCGACACCCTTAACTCAATTAAGGTTCCATGGAGAACCCCCCACACTCTAGATAACCATACCTTCCGGGCTCAGAGACAGAACCTTTTGGCAACCCCAAGAAATAGCAAAATACTTATTCTTAACTGAGAATCTTACTTTTGCCGGATTTAATTGTTTCATGTTCTAGTAGTTTTTCTAGGCCACTTCATGCAAATCAAAGTAAGAAGGTTACAATACCTGCAGACTGCCTATAGTGGTAATCGAATATCCAACAGGATTACGCGTTTTGGTATATTGTTATACCATCATCCACGATCCTATATACAAAACTTGCATGTGTGCAAGTGTCGAGCGACACTTGAAATGCATGCATTGCTTCGCTTTTGTCTCTCGTTTTTAATTAGTAGGCCTACTGTAAATAGTTTTTCGTGATTAAATGTTTTGTAACTGTGTTTTAAAACTGTGGCGTGACATCATGAGTCAAAAAACTTCAAGTTTTGTATATAGGATCTGATGATGGTATAACAATATACCGAAACGTGTAATCCTGTTGGATATTCGAGGACCACTATAGGCAGTCTGCAGGTATTGTAACCTTCTTATTTTGATTTAATTGTTTCCTCTGTAATTTGTACTTCTCTGTAATGATACTTCTGTTTAGAAAATAAATTTCTAGAAAATTATATTATGGATTGTGGATGAGAGATGAAAATTATTATGTACTGCAAATACTACCATAGTATTTAATTTAGAGATATACCAAGTTAGTTGAAGAGAACTCTAAGAGTATCAAGATAAGACAAGGGAAGGCGCAAAAAGAAAAGCTCAATCAGATCACAAGTTAGTAAAATACCCCCGCCGCAGCAAACCTGCAGATTAAGCGATTTTCCATTTGTCGGAATTTCTTTTCAATTAAATCTATTTAAATAAGATTAGGTTTAACAAGTACCTAAGTTTGCTGCTACAAGGAAACTAATAAAGAGTGGTTTTAGTCAAATATTAATAGCTTAGAATAAAATAAATAAATTTGCCAAGTTGATTAAAATATATCTATAAACAAGCAAACTACAACATTTTACAATATTCTCCGTAATAATAACATGGGAATTTTAAATTTACTATTTTTTTAATTTTCTCCGTTACTAATAACCAAACAAAAACACTTTTATATACTAAATTATTTGTTTTTAAAGCTCTTTGGGAAATTTTATGTTTTAAGGGTAAAAAATGAGAAAAACCAATTTTTACCCCATAAAACTTCGTAAAACCCCTTTCCGATGGTCCGATCATGCTGGTTCATTCAAGTTTATCCCGCCTTACACCTTTAAACCAAATTTCATCAAAATCGGACAAAAATTACTCAAGTTATCGCGTTCACAGACACATATATAACAATAAACACATGTATACATAGGCTATATAAAAATTTGAACGAATGGTGTTTTTGGTCTCTTGGGACATCAAAACGAAAAAGTAAATCGGTCCCGGGCCTAGAGGTTTTACCAATTAAATAAGGTATGTTTATAGTTTAATTGAGTAGGTAATAAACTGAAAGTGTATGTATTTAAATGCTACAATACAGACTTATGTCCAATTACATTGCAGCATAATATAAATTCCTCATAATACCTACTTCACTTTGTGTCAAAATTTATTTTTCTTCATCATGCAGGCAACAACACAATATTAAATAAATACAGGGTGAGTAAAAAGTCAAGACCACCCCTCTCTAATATCTTTCTACGTAAATATACAGAGATATCCTTTTGGTGGTCATGCAAACTTAGCAGGAAGTTTCATTTTATCATTTTGAAATTTTTAAATGTCGGGGGATTTTGCCAAGTTGCCTTTTCAAAAAGGGGTGATATTGGGGGCAACTCAACAATTTTAAACGTAAACCCCCTTCAAGTTACATCTCATTTTAAAGTGTTTACAAAAACTTAAAGGATGGTGAAAACCAGAGTTTGCTATTTCATCTCTATCCAAAATGGTAGCCCATCAAATGTTATGGAAAATCAATGGTAATATTGGTTCGTAATTGAAATATTGGCTACCATTTTGTACAGAGGATAGATAGCGAACTCTAGTTTTCACCATTCCTTAAGTTTTTTGTAAACACTTCAAAATGAGGTGTCAGTTGAAGAGTTTTTACATTTTTGTTGCCCCCGAAATCCCCCCTTTTTGGGGACATTTAAAAATTTCAAAATCATAAAATGAAACTTCCTTCTTAGATTGCACGACCACCAAAAGGATATCTCTCTATATTTACTTGACTTTTTATCCACCCTGTATGTAGCACTTTACATAAACTTTAATCTGTATACGAGAAAGGATGAGTGTAGAATGGAGTGAGACGCCTTTTACAGACTTGTTTGAGACTAAGGCAGATTGTTTCATTGGTCAGGACATTTCTTTAAAGTTAAAAAACCAATCATCAAGAAAATCTGGATCCAGTATCAAACCTCACTTATTAAGGAAAGAAAACAGCCTTCTGTTTGTGAGCACTATAGCCACTTATTATATACACCAATACAGGTATTCGATTATGTGGAACCATCTACTTAGATTAATTTGATTACTAGTTAATGAAACTAAATGAATCAATTAACAAACCTCAATTTATGCTGTAGCCGTGGGTTTCACCTTCCATTCCTGCCTTATCTTGGTACTACTCAAATGGAAGCCAACAGGTGATGATCCAGCACTCTTCTACGTCATTGGAGCCGTCTGGGGTGTCTGCAACTCAATCTGGGAGTGCCTTACTTTTAGTAAGTTGTGAGTTATAAATCTGAAACGGTTCACAAGAAAACTGTAAAATTAAAAAGTGAATGTAGATTAATCACATTATTCAGTACCTTGTAAATAGCATGTCATATTGTGGCCACTCCCCCCTTTCTAATAGTCCATTGGTTTTTGGAAAATAAACTGAGAATCGTTTTCTTAAACAACCAACATACTTAATTTGTCTGTTGATGAAAAATTCAAAATTGGTTTTATAAAAAGAAAATAATTGACAAAATGTTATATGCAGTCTACTTACTACCTTCTTAGTTTATAAGGAGGGAAAACTAACAACCCCGCCATTATCAGTATGTGGTTACGAGTCCTCAAATTCTACCCTCTCTCTTAAGGGTGCGCTCTACCCGTCTGGCGCGCGCGAATGCAAAGGTTTTAGTTCTTACTGATTGTATCCCCAATTGTGAACCGATTAAAAAGATCTTGGTGTCACATTTTCGTCAAGTATTATTGTAGTTTTTCCGTTTTTTTAAATTTTGATAATTTGAAAATGTTTGGCTAAAAGGTTGGTAAAAATATTAAAATACACGTTTTTCATCATAAGTTTTAACGCATACAAATAATTTGTATTCATAAATAAATGTCAAATGAAGCTAGAATAGTGATACAACAACGCTTTACACATAATAAAATAACCATTTAGGATTACTTACATTTAGTTTTGGGTTTTGATAGAGATCTTTTGATTAAACCAATCCTTATAATTGTAAATACAACCTCAAAATTATGTGAGTACACATCCTAATGGAACATATTTATATCCCAAAAAAATCTCTAACTCTAAGAATATTGTGAACTAATGATACAATCAAAATTAGAACTTGAGATAAGATTTCTTGTCAAATGATATTTTATTTCCAAAAGTTTGGTTTTTAAATGTATACACTAGGCCTTGTTGAAAAACTCTACTATGAAATTTTCCTGGAAAGATGAAATTACATTTACAATCCCACAAAATCTGTTCACTCTTGCTGTACTTTCTGGGTTAGTTAGTTGCGTGAAAGATGAGGTTTTATTTTGCTTCCTTGTAAATGTCTTACATTTAATTCAACTATACAAAATGTTAAAGTTGACAATGTTTATTGGTTGGCTTTCCTGTTATACTAAAGCAAAGCTAAATTATAACCACTGTGTTGCAGGCTTGTTAATAGTTATCCATCCGGACACCTGGCAACCTGCGATTGGCCATCACTATTTCTTTCGCTATCTGGGCCTCGCCCTGGCATTCAGCATTCACGGAGCATTCTGCAACCAGCTCAAGTTGTACATTCTAGCCATGGTTCTGATACTCACTGCCATCTCATACTCCATCTTGGAGTGGAAGTTATCGCAGCGGCCAAAAGATAATTTAGACGCTTTGTGACACACCCTAGCCCGGGTCACAGCCACATCATAGAGCTCAAGTCAACCGCAGAGTTTGATCATATCGATTCACACTCAAATATTCATCTTACAGTATTTTATAATGATAAATATATATATATATTTTTAAATACTGAGCAAATTAGGTATAGGTCAATATAAAATGAATTGTTGCGGTTATTAAAAAAAAATTAAATAGTATATATATTTTTTAATTTTAACTGTCTGATAGTAACAAATCAAATTGATAAAATCCTTTAAAATTTTTAGGTACAATGTTAGTGAATATTTATGTGTAGTTTTACGATTGAAATTATTATTTTTTTAAATGCTCCACTACAAAATTAAGGACAATATCACTGTAGTGGAAATTGAGAAATAGTAAATTTTTCAACTGTTGAACTCAGAGAAAGGCTGAGGTCACATAAAAGAAAGGTTTCACTAGCTTGATGACAAAATGAAGCTTGTCTGCTCAGTAAACCTATCCAAAGTGATCCTGGGGGGTGACATGATACCCCCTCCGATAGTTTTGGAACCATAAAAATTAGGAATATGAGAAACCTGTGGCTTTTTCTTGGTTCTTATTTTTTTTCCTCATTGTTTAACTAATTTCTACTCTTGCACTGTTATATATCTTGTCTGTTGAATTTTAACAAAACACACACATTATGTCAAAATGAATGTCTTTTAGTTGTGATTTTTTTAAACTCATATTCTACTTTTTCATTTCATTTTCCTAAACACTTTTAACATAAAATGATAACTTATACCAATAATAATACGTATATAATAGCAAAGTTCACTTCACAAGTGTCCTAATCCTTACCATGATGAGCAAATTTCAGATATAAAAATATTTTAGCATATCATAATTTTATTAATTTTTACCATATCAAAAGGTTCTGTTAATGTTCTTCAAATGCTTTAAAGTAAAGACTAAATGTTAATTCAAGTTAGAAGGTTTAGATAGTCTAGATATGTTTCCTAAAGTTTATATCTTATAGTTAAGAACGTATATATATACTGACGACCAGAGTTGCTATTAGCATAGAATAAATAAGGCCTATTTAAGATCAAAAGGAGGACATCTGAATCCATTAATGAGAGGCAAACTGATAAATCTAGAAAAAAAGTTCCTTAACCCCCCTCCCCATTGTGCTCTTTGCTGTTAGGTGAAAGGATAAAAAGGATATTGATCAAAAAGGTTGTTTTTAAATTCTTATTTAATTTACTGTCTCCCATATATTTATGTTTTGTAAAAAAAAGACTAAACATTATTAAAATATAAAGATATTTTTAGTTTAGTGAACCAAAATATAAACCTAGAAGAAGTGATAGTTAAAACATGAACAGTTTAAAGATACCTCGGACATTTTTTAATTGTTTAAAAGAAATTTAATTTTAAATTCCTAATAACCCTTTTGCTTACATCTAAACTTACCTAAAAAATTCACTATCATCATTTGATTTATATTATCAAGTAATCTTAAAATAGTGTTCATGCCTAAAGCATCCTTCAATACTGTAGAATTTATTTGTATGCTTATTTCACAAAATCCAACAAACATTAGAGTACCGGTACAAACTAAGCAAATAAATAGTCAGACAGGAAAACAGTAACATTCAAAAATTACAATAGTCTTTAGCAAGCTAACAATAGACTCGGAATCACTACCTCAATGCCCCACAAATTATATCAGACTTGACCTTTAATTATATAGTCTAAATGATCAAAGCTGTCTTATGGCCCTTTGGGGACTCACCCTGAGTTACCCTAATTAGTAATTACCACCTTTTTAGCTTTCCCACTAGCTTCAGTAACTGTTTTATCCATGTCATAATTTCCAAAATTGTACATATTTAAAATTTGAGAGGTACATAAAAATATAAGATCATCAATACTAAACAAGAGTAAATTTGATTAAACCTTCAAATGCTAGAATTTTTTTTTCCGAAAAATGCTAAAGCTATTTACTTATTTTGTCTAAAAAGTGAAGGCTTGCCATGGGGGTAAAATCTAGTGTGCAAGAAAAAAAATCGGGAAAGTTAAATTTTTCATCTCAAAAGTGCTAAGGAACGATATATTGGGTCTCGATTGTATGAGAAATCGAAAGAGACCATTGCTCTTTTGAAACAACAACCGAGTCAACCGATATGCCCATTTAAACTCACAGGATCGAATGTCGCGCCAGCACGATATATCGTCACTTAGCACTTTTCGGGAAAGAGACGCACAACAATATATCGTCACATATAGCACTGAAAGGGTTAAGAGTATAGAGGTGAAGAGGTAAGAACAAATCTACTGCTTGTTTCTTAATCAATTTGCCCTTGTTAAGTATTGATAATATTATATTTTAAATACTTTTTAAATTTTTTACAAGCGTTTATGGAAATTGACTTGGGTAAAAAAGTTACTGAAGCTAGTTGGAAACTAAAAGGCAACTAATTATTAAAACAGCCGAGAAGTTGTTACAGATTACGGGTTTCAAGCCCAGGCCAGTCCCACGTAGACTGAGGAGCATACAGACTATAGGCATTTGACTTTGAGGATCATATGAAACTGAAACCCAAACTCTAACACTCTCAGTCTCGTTCAATTTCCGCCACACCTTGCACCTATTACAAAGTCACAATTTGGTGTTCAGCAGAAATATAAAACTATTTTTTTCTTACAATGGATTTTACATTCGATCATGTTGATTTTTTAGGTAACTCAGTTTTAAATGGAAATTATTAATGTATGAATAATAATAGTTAAACTCCCCAAAGGTCTCAATATAAAAAATTAAGGCGTTAATATACTATTAAAATTAATATGTACTCTTTTTTCAGACCAAAAATACGTATTGGAGACCGTAATTGATTTCCAGTGTATTATGTTTAGTAGATTGAACAATAAATGTTATGTTTAATGGCATTGATGTTTTAATGTTTTGCTCTGATGTTTCAAAGAGATATTGCTTCTATGGTGAATGTAAAAATATTTGTGTATATATGTACACTTTGCAGCTCTGCAAAGTTACCATGAGTTAGAAAAAAAAACCACAGAAGTACCTTCCGCTAAAGTATCCCACATAATGCAACCTTTACTATTTAAAGAATGACATTTTTAATTATAATAGTAAAAATAAGTTAAAAAAATTATGATTATTGTTTAGGGTTATAGCAGTTGATGGTCATATCATATGCCTCAGCTGAAATATTGACAAATTTAAAGTATCCTTCCATTTAATGTAACACAATTTTTCTTGGATTGAAATTAGTATTTGTTCATTCTTTTTGTTAATTGATGATTGTAGGTTTTTTACAAGATTTTTTCTTTGGTGCAAAGTAAGTGTCAATGAGGACCCCGCTGCATACAGATGAACAGTCTTTGTGAGGATCACTTTTATGCATACAATTTTGTTTTAATTTTATACTTATGGTACCGGTATCTTTATGCTGTATATTTTCTCTTGAGTTATTGTAAAATAAATGATCTTATCTTTATCACTCCACTACACAAATTATTGCACTACTACTGCAAATGAAGAAGAATATTTGTATGAATGATAACTACTGAATTTCATAAACAAAGAAGTTTTTTTTAGAAGGAAAAACCTCAGTTTCCGTGTTCTAAAAATTCAAAATTAGTTTCTTGTACAATACCTAGTATACCACAATGTCAAAACCGATGACATAAATTGATTAATCATTGACAGTTAATAAGGTTCTTCTGTGATGTTAGTTATGACTTCTTACTGTCAACATTTAAAGGTGGGTTCTGTTTTTTAATATATCAGTTAAGTTTTAGGTATATCAATCATTGATGTAAAGTGTTCATGCCAATCAATGTGGTGTATAGCTTTATCACAAAAAAAAAATATAGACTGGCTGTTCATTAGGTTGTTAAAAGTGTCCCTTATAACATTCATTTTTATGTTCCATGTAATGGTGTCTTTAAATATTCTTGCAGACTTGCGATTAAGTGTATATTTGTATGTGTCAAAAACAAATAGCATAATAATTATTGTAAATTCTTCTCCCAAAAACTGATCTTTTGTTAGTTCTGAGAGAAAACATCAAGGGGAACCTTAATTGTTGCTTTTATGGCTGCTAAAAAAGCACCACATTTATAAACGATTAGATGTTTATTATTGTGTTTAATTTGAAGAAGGTAAAATTACCATCATATGTAACATTATGGTGGACGTTTTAAGTAGTAAATATGTTAGCAACATGTTTTAATTTGGATAATTGTAACAGGGCTGCCCGAAGGGGGGGGAGCAAGCTGCCCCGGGCGCCGTAGCTGAGGGGGCGCCGCACAGCGGCTATTTGTATTAATATAGTATCAAAATATGCGAATGCGACTATTACTGGGGGGGGGGGGGAGGGAGCGCCACGACCACGTTTGCTCCGGGCGCCGCCAACCCTAGGGACGGCCCTGAATTGTAATAATGTTTTAGTAAGGATTCACTGAATAAAAGCAACCATGAAATGAACCCAATATAACTATCAAATCTTATGCTGGTGCACTAAATCATTAAAATTGAATTTCCAGTTGAGCTCACTCTCACAGTCCTACATTGTATGTGTTATATGCAGCCAGATTTACAACTAGTACCGCAAGAAAAAAGGCAGACAAAGCATAATCTACAAAAACAATTACTCAGAACAACTTTTAATTTAATTTTTTTTTATAATTATTAAAATTAATTCACCGTAGTCGATGATGTACCTATGATTGTGGTCCGTGGGAGAGGATAACGATTCCTCCAAGGTCGCAGATATTATACCCTTGATTCAAGGGAGTTGTTAACAATTACGCCGCGATTGCGGAGAATTTCTACCTTAGGGGCGGGGGCCGCTTAACATAATTTGGCCTACGGCCGCAAGTACCCTAAATCCGGCACTGGTTATATGTTTAAGCCCCAGAACTCAAGTATTTTTACTGTTAGTCCAAACTAAAAACTAATAAGAATTCAAACAACAACAAAAAACAATAAATTGTCTCCCATTTTATCCTTATTCAATTAATTAATTACTGTATTGCGTTTGTTTATGGATACAGCAAATTTCTTTATCACATTGCTAACTTATCAAATTTAGCTGAAACAACATTTTTGGGGATTTATTAACTAAACAAACTCATTCGGCCAAGGTTATTCATACTCATGGATCTACGGTATATTTAAATTTCCTTATATTATAATATAATTATTTTTAAATAAAAGCTCAACACTGGAAATTTGCTTAGTCTGCAGGTTTATTGCAATGGGGGTGTTGAGTTGATTTTTATCTAGAATTATATTTTAAATTAATAAAACTACAGTCAAATTGAAGTATGAGTCAAGTCTACTTAATGCATGTGTGTGTGTGTGAGAGAGCATGTCTCCTAGAAGGTCATACAAAGTTGTTACCATATTTGTCAAAGCTGTGAGAAATACACTCAAAAAAGACAAAAATAAAGATGTTTGTATCTTTAATTTAATACTAATGGTTTGAACCATCTGGTACATTTTCAGAAGTAGTATAAATTAACATAAGTAAAAACATGTGTGCTTGAAGGTATTTTTATGTTAAATATGTACTGTATGTTTTAACCTGTTAAATGTAGTTAAGTATTACTGAAGTGTCATAAAATTATTGAATAAATGTGACTCTTTTTACTGTTATGTAAATATGAAAAATAAAAGTTGATTCTTGGTTATTTAAAAGTTTTTCATTATTATGGTTATCTGGTTGGGTTGAACATACTCTTACATAACTATGGGAATTAATTGTTTATTGGTATTATTTTTTATTTTGTTGGTAAATACAGATTGACCTGAGACCAAACAAAAAGAGAAACTACTTAACAATTCTAATACTGATAATACAAATTGCAATCAGCCCCATTGTCAAATCTTCCGTCTTGTTAATTACTGTTAAAAGCATTGGTCGTTGCATTCCACATGTAGTTCATACACACACTGTCACACGAAACATTTATATTTACACGGAACATTTAAAATTTAATACTTTTGGCCGGCCTAAACAAAAATTACTAACATTGTGCAGACCAGTACACTGACCGTCGTTTCTCAAAGTCAATGTTAGTAATTTTTGTTTAGGCCAGAAGTATGGTTACAGAGAAAATTCCATAAATCAGATAAAATCAAAATATACTTTTTTTTAATAGAACAGTAGAAAATATAAACATACACTTCCAGTGAAACAGACATCTTACTAAATTGCATAAAATAAAATGATAATAAAAATATCTGTAAACTTAATGATAATGACAAAGAATAAGTTTCACAGAAAGCAATGTTAAATAAACATTGCATACAACAGTGAATTTAAAATGCCCATTTTATTCTTATGAGTAAACTGTATACAAGTATAATAAAATGAGTATAGCCTAATAAAAGTATAAGTAAAATGTATAATAAGTAAACTGTTGTAGTTCGCTTGTTTGTAGATATATTCTGATCAAATTTACCTTTTTCCTTCTAAGCTATTAACAGTTCCCTAAAAAAACACATCTTACTACCTTCCCTGTAGTAGAACACCTAAGTTACTTGTTTAACCGTTATTTAAATAGGGAATGAATCTGACAGAATGAGTTTCAAAATAAAGTGTGACTGGATGGTGTCTATGGTGTTAACATGCTCCATCCAAACTACCTCATTTTAGGGCAATGGATAAATTTGCTAAAGATCAAATGTACCAAGTCTCGTAGCACTAACTTAATTTTGCTTATAAACCTGTCCTGAACTCTGAATTTATGTTCTTCTAAAGAGATAAAAAACATCCACATCCAGATGTTAACATAAATTCTGTGACAAAAATGTTTTTCCAGAATAGCTGACACATTTTGTTTAATTCACACAGCTCAGATCGCTAAGGAAGGATAAGTAGTTAATGCTGGAATGCTGTTTAGGACATTGTTGACTATTAAATTAATGCAGAAAATATGAAACTCTAGGAACTGAATATATTAAACAAATTGATCCTTTTGTTGTACGATTACTTTGATTGTATTACTAATATATAATGAATACAATCATTGAGTATACACGTACTAGACTAGCCACTCAATGGAGGTTATTGTTACCTGAACAGCGCTGTTGCAGAGAAGGGTCAGCGGCCCGAACTACTCTACCTCGGGCTTGTCGGTAAGGCAGGTCCTTAGAGGCGCATCTGCACTACCGATAGACTACCGCGACCCAAATGTCAGCGGCCCGAACTACGTTGCCAAAATCGGTAACAACTATTAGCATTATCTGATTATACGTGAATACTCAATGATACAATGTTATTAATTGAAGATTATTAGAACCTATAGCAGGTAGGTCTGCATGGTCAAGCTTAGTCATAAAAGTGTGGGGTGTAAAAAGATGGCAATTTCAGTTTTTATTTTAATTTTAGGAATACTCGTTGGATGGTAATAAAGAAACAATTAGGTATTTCAATCATTTATTTGCTAATTTTATCATACCCTTACACATTCTAGATAAGAAGAGGTACACTTCATTAATTGAAAAGCCTTACATTACTTTGAGCTTTATTAAGACATTCAAAAGCAAACCAAATCATTACGTGGTCTTTTAATTACCGTAAGTAAATATTTTAAATAAAGCTCATAAATAAAAATTTACAAAAATAGGGTTTAAGAAATAAGTAAAAATATAATACAATTAGTCAATATGTTTATCAAAATCACAGGCCAAAAAAACATTTCTAATAAATACAATGAAGGTGTAGATTTTAAAAAAGAATACAAGTTGCATTTATATACTGTTTTACAACCGACAATTACAAAATGTAACATTACCTTACATTTTCAAGTCTTGTGCATTTAACAGTGCTTTTCACTTGTGAGAACATTGATAGAGGTACCTACCTAAACCCCTAGAAAATATTCAAGTTGTTTGTTTTGGGGTAACTGATCTACCGTGAAACTAAGTGAATAAAAATAGTAATTACATAGTATTGATAACATATCCATGCAGTCAAAATAAAATTGAAGAACTTTGACAAGATTAATTGAGACAACAGAGGTAGAGCAACATTTAAAAGGTACATAAACCACAAACAAAACAGTCTGCAGTTTACTTGGTTAAAAACAAGTACACAATGTTTAACTTTAGGAATACTTTTAAATTCTTATTGGACATTGTCTCATTTTATAACCTTAAAATTGACTAAAATGATAAGGATATAATACTTTTGAAACATATACAGCATATAATAACTTTTCAAGTTATATAGACTAAATAAAAATAATAACAATTTTAAACAAAAATAAAACTATAAATTGTTAATTGTAACCTATGCAAATCTATAGTAACTACTGGACTAAAAATAGTACTGATGTAATTAGTAATACAAGAGATGCTTCGGCAGTCAGTATTTATTTTGAACATAATTAGAAACATAAAAAATAAAACAGCAAATACTTATATTTTAAGAATCAAGTGAGAATCATACATGATATTAAAATAAAATAGGAATACTAAAACATTCATTCTTAAACATTATAAAAGAGCTACTTGAAATAGTTGGTTTTAACGGTTAAGCCTGATAAAAATGATTAGGCAATTATATTGATACCTACAACCTTTATGTATTATGGTACCCAACCACTCTATCTTGATATTACCTTAAAATTAAGCAATACATGTTTACATTTTCCTTACATAAAATGGCTGAGTTTAGTTTGAACCTCATTTTCTTTCAAAATCTCTATCTGAAAATGTTTCTTTAGACACATTGTCATTACAGTAAAACTTCGCCAACTCGACACCCGATAACTGAACAGTCAACAGCTAATACGTCAGGGCGCACATCTAGCTGGCTTCTCTTACTATTGTGTTAGACTTTTATTGTTTTAATTGTTGAATATTCCAAATTTCTTTGAAGATTGTTTACGGTACTCAATATCTAGAAATACTCACGTAAGTAAAAATTTAATACATTTAAAAATGAGTCTGTTATGTATTCATTTATTAAAACAGCTATTAAAAATGTCAATGTTCTGGAAAAATTTATAACCCCCAAACTCGACAACTTCTGTCGTACACAAATTGTCAAGTTAGTGAGGTTTAAGTGTACCATGATTTAGTAAAACATGCAAATGAAAATTTTAAATAATTCACCATCATTTAAAAAACTACCAGGAAATCATGACAGTTATGACATCATACGAATTTGAACTAGTATATAAAACAGTTAAAATGAAATAAACTTATTTGAGCGTACCCTTGAAAGAGAAGTCAATAAAATATTCTGCAATATTATGCATATCATTCAATTTGTTCTACAAGTTTAATGCAACAATATTTTGTGTACTTCAAAACAAAAGACAAATTACAGTTTTTCAGAAACTTTCTTACATGTTAAGCTAATGCATGATTTGCCTTATATGTTTATCCCAAGATACAAGCAACATAGTTTATTTTTGTTTGAAAATTGCTGAATGGGTCTAAACCTTCGCTGTCCATAAAATACCTTGCTCTTATCAGAACCACCAATAGGCAACGCAAATTAATCAACATGAGGGCCGATACGAAAATAAACTACTACATTAAACTAAGATATTTTAAATGTCAAAATAAACATGGTAACTACATAATAATGCCCAATTGACGACACCCAAAGTTTTTAAAAGCTTTGTGCTTTTAAATTACTTGACTTAAAATAAATTGAAAATCATTAAAACAAACCATACCTTAACACATATCAGCATAAACATAAAAGTTGTCATAGGATAGATGTTAAAAATAACTAACACTTTATGAGATAATTAAGTTGGGGATCTGAACAAACATTGTCATTGGATTTTAGATATCTTAAATTACTAATACCGGGTTTGTTTGTACAAAAAATGTTGTACCAGTCTTCAATTACAATCAGAGGAAACATAATAACTATAAACCAACACAAAATTATAAAAATTCCATTCTATAATACTAATTGGAATTTATGTAGACAATACAAAATTTATCACTTGAGTTTACAAAGATTGCTCTTCTATATTGTAGGCACACTACAACAATGACCAAATTTTACTTCGTTTAGTCCAAAAAAAAATCAATGAATACTTGAATGTTTCTTTAACAAACTCATTAATTTTCTTTTTCTGTTTATGACGGTAAACCATCTGGCAGCCTTGGTTTAAAAAGTGTCTACTGTATTTATAATAAAGGCTAATCAAGAGATAAAACTAATATTTAATTGCAAATTAAGAAGTTATTCTGAGAGATTTTTCACACATTTGACCAGCTAAATTGACAAATTTACAATTTTTTTAAACCAAACATTTTTAACAATGGGTTTTAACTTTGAAGGTTGGGATATACTGTAATACTGTCAGTCTTAGCAAGTAAAATACGGATTACATTATTGTAATAATTAGGTATACAAAACCATGAAAAAACCAATGAATATATAATGTGTATATTATAATTGGAGTAGTACAGTTGGGGTGCTTGCACCAGTCCAATATGCTCCTGACAGTTCGGAAACATTTATTAAAAAATCTCTAGTAGAAAAGAGAGGAATAACCTTTTTCCCATCCACCATTAGTGTTAGTGCAAGATTTCATCAAACATTTTAGTCACCTTAGGATTGAGCATCACATTTGACTTTTGAAAGGTTTAAGGGCTGAAGGAATTAAACATAAAACATAACAATCTCACAGATCAAAGAAATGTGGAAACATTTTTGCCACCAAGACTGTATGAATAATATGATAGGTTATGTGTCTGTCTTCAGTCTTTAAATTAGTCTGGGGTAACTAGTTTCGGGTACAATGACCAATTTTCAAACCCACATCAAATTGGTCAATAAATCCTACGGAAGTCTTCGTTGATGTAAAACACATGTCAACACATAAAGTTCACAATAAAAAAATAAAAAAAAACATTTAAGTAGGCCGGCCACATTTAATAGAACGACAGACCTACGCAGGTTGCTCAGTAGACATGACGGATCTAGCCGTTGTCGAAGCAGTGACATTAACCTTGGGGGTAGAGATCATTTTCAATTGAATTTATTATATGTTTCATTTTGTTTGTTTCACTTTGATTGATATAAAATAAAATGTTGTTTGTAAATAAGTACGATTTTAGAAATCTAGAATTTTAAAAAGTGCAGGTTTTAAGTATTGCAATTTCTTCTACATTAAGCATAAAAAATCATGAAAAGAACGAAGGCAGTGACGCTTAACCCTGAGATCGATTATGAATTGTTATAAAATACAAAACCCCTTCAATTGCATTTCTTTGTTTGCTAATATATGTGTGCTAGTAAGACAAAACTGTATTCACTACAATTTTTTATCAATCTTAATAAGTAGTTAAATTAAAATAAACTAAAAATCATGACAAAAGATTTTCCTGGATTTCACTCACTTTACATAAAAAAAATTAATTATATTGTGTATAAGTCTTAAATTCATGTGTCATTATTTAGTGTTTCAATGATATTTCAAAACTCTTTCATAAACAATTCAATACTTTTTATTAACCACTCATGCATAAATTAAATCCTAATCAAATAGTACCTGTTATTGAACATCTGTAAATCAAGTAACAGTGTAATAAGGACACTGCAGCAAATACAACTTATTATAGTCCTTGCCATCCTGACCTGTAGGGTAATTAACAGCTGGCCCCGAACAATCCTATTAGTGACGCTTCCGTGGATGCCCTAGTTCAATATTATCATTAATAAAATGATAATCTGATATAATAATTTACTGGTTTACATTGATAGCATAAATTTAACAATCATTTCTGTTTCCGTCCCATCTGCTTTGAGCTACAAACAAAAAATATAAGTATAAACCATAAACATTGTCCGTTTTAGATGGGACAAAAACAGAAATGTTTGTCAAATCAATGTCATTAACATATATTATATAATACATCATTAATAGGTGATTACGAGTAAATTAATACATCCTATTATAATTTTACTAATGTTAATACTGTACTAGGGCGTTCATGGAAGCGTCGCTAATAGGATTGTAATAGGGTTGTGCGGGACCAGCTGGTAATTGCGCTGCAGGTCAGTTTGGGCTGCCTCAAGTTAGGGTGGCGAGGTTTATATATACATATGTGTCGATTTCATCATAGATAATGTGAAATAATATCATGCATATATTAAAATATTATGTTTGAACTTTTTACTCTTGGAGTAAGAATTTACTTGTCAGAGAATTAACTGTCCGCAGTAAAAATAATGTTTTTATTCCTGATTTACAAGTGTTATTAGGTAGGAATATAAAATGTTTTACATTTCTGGTCTAAAACTTAACTACACATCAACGACTTATAAGCATTAACAGATGAACGAATAACTCAAGATCTTTAAGCAGATTTAAACTAATTACAACAGTTTCAAACAGTTGTATTTAATTTCAAGCAATATTCAAGGGAATAAACACTTACAGTATATGATATACCTATCAATCATACTATGAACACTGACATTACATTCAACCTGAGGAGAATCAAAAACTAGAATGTGACCTTGCTTGTTGCCTACCTGACAGTTCTATGCCCATGGGAATAGATTGTGTGGTCACATTGGTTTCCATACCTGGATCATTAAGGTTTATACCCTCCATCATACGATCATCGTACAGAGAGAACCTAGTCTCCCTCAATACACTTTTGCCACGTTTGCGCCTGACAGACGGGGGTACATCACCCGGTGTTTTTATTCGGCTGGCAAGATCTTTTAACTTATTCTTACTCTTATCAGTAAAAATATCATCTAAATTTGTCTTTTTTTCTACGTTGTTATTTTTACAATTTACAAGGGGTAAACTGGAAGGCCTCTCAGCAGACTTGTGTTTTACAATACCTTCAGAAGACTCTTCAAATGGCGAAATGATCACCTTCATGTCACTCACTCGGTTCTTATCTTTACTTCGCGTACTATTTTTAGAGCCTACAGAAGAAGTATTTTCTTTTTCGGTGCCTAGAACAGCAGTTACAGTCCTTTGATCACCGAGGCTGACTTCAGTTTCCTTCAAAGGTCTAGATCGAAGGTTCGACTTAGGGGAGGGATCAGATCTGTTTTTCTTTGATTCTAATAACTTTTTTAAAGGTCTAGAGAGAATTCCGCTAAATGGTTTGTGAAAGCTACCATTACCTGGGACGTTGGGCTGTTTAGGGACAGTTGGATTATCAAATACAGCATTCTGTACAAACGGTATGGGAGCGTTGACTCGAGGAGGTGGGTTCAAGTAGTCGCTGTTGACCAGACTGAGGTTGTCTGAGTAGTTGTGGGGATTGTGTTTCATGGAACGATCGATCAAATCGTGCTGACTGTTGGCATCCCACATCAGGTTGCGTTCAAAGCAAGGGTTGCGACCTTGGTAGGGCTGCAAAGGCATCACTTGACTTGGTCGATTGTTGGAATTTTTGCTATCTGAAAATGATCAAGCACACTGTCATTTCTAAAATTGCTCATGAAAAGTATTGAATTATTATGAATTTATATTATGTAGTGTCCTTCAATATCAAGAATATTTTTATAGAAGATTCTGTACATTATAACTTACTTGCAATGGACTCCACACAAGGTTCTGAGGGTGAGAGGGTCAGCAATGTTTCCACAGTACCTTCAGAGAGATTTGAATCTATTCCTTCCTTGTCTCCTAAACAAATAATAATCATATAGATTTTTTTGTCAGGAAAGTAAAATTATTTGTTGATATAAGAGACGTTGTTTCCCTAACAAACACACTTTTATTTGAGGCGGAAAACAATAAAACAGTTTTTTTGAAAATCTGTTATCTACTCGCTATCATATTTTTTCACTTCTATAACTTATTGAAACCTCTTGTAGGTACAGTAATAAATAATTAAAAATACAATATTAAAAAAGTTTTTAATCACAAGCTATATAAATTTGGATAAAACCCATAGGTTAGTTAAGTGTTAGTCTAATCAATTATAAAATGAAACCGTTCTATGCTAACCTGACCTAAGGAAACTTTCTGATTACGAAAAAACCAATTAAAGATTTAGTAATTCTAATCGATATTATCAATCGATATTAGGGTAGCCCGGTCAAAAATAAAGTTGCAGACAGATAACAGATTTTGACCATTCAAACAATATGAAATCTTCAAAGAGCGTGATATCATTGACACCAATACTACAGTTTCTACACTTTTGATAATCTGAAATAATGCAGTGAATGTGCATTGAATGTGTTCATTAAACTGATTTCAATGTAACCTGGAGAGTAACTGGTCTAGTGGTAGACTGTGGGACTTTGTTCCCTGAGGTTCCAAGTTTAAATTCTGTCAATCAACAATTGATTTTATCAAAGTGATAATGCCGCAACCCTCTGGGCCCAGCCCCTAGCCTGAAATAATGTGTAGAACACTTTTGGAATAGAGCCTACGTCTTAGGATGTAAAAGTGGGCCTTAAAAGAAACTGCACCTTAATGTTAAATAAGATGGAAACAACGTGGAAACAAAGACTATCCGTAATCTTACCTGTATCTTCAGCAGATTCAACATTTTTGTGGTTGTTGTTGTTGTAATTGGGCAGTGACATGAAAGTATGGGTCATGTTTATTGTAGGACTAACTCCAATTGTACCCGTTCCTGCAAAAAATACACATGTTCTTCAATAACTATAATAAGATTTTATCTTTACTTTCATATAAAGTTGAGAAACAATTGTGTAGTATTCTTTTCATAAACACAAATATGATACTTGTAGGAGTACATATTATTTTAATACAAACACATTTCAGGTTGTCATTTTTTTTATTTTTTTTTTATTGCAATGAAAAAGCTAGTGGTGGAAAACTTTCTAGTTCCTAGTTTTTAGAAGAAATGACATTTCTTCAAACCAAAACTTATGTTTCCAATTTTTACTCAACATTTACTCTTCAAGGACTTGGAAAGAATATAATCCCTACAATAGATACTAGGGATGGACGGGTCCCGAAATTTCGGGAATTTTTCGGGAAAAAAATATTCCCGATTATCGGGACGGGATTACATTTGACTCGGGATTTTTTCGGGACGGGATTTGGTCCGATCGTCGGCGATTTTTCCGCTTCGCGAGTGCCAATAACGCCGTTATTGCGAGCGATAGGTCCGCGAACGCAGGAGACGAAGTCATACCGACGATCGCGCCGTGACCGCGGAGTCCTACCGACGATCGTGCCATGACCGCGGAGTCCTACCGACGATCGCGCCGTGACCGCGGAGTCATGCTGACGATCAAGCCGTGATCGCGAGTCATACCAACGATCATGCCGTGACCGCGAGTTATACCGACGATAACCCCGTGACCGCGGAGTCATACCGACGATAACCCCGTGACCGCGAGTCATACCGACGATAACCCCGTGACCGCGAGTCATACCGACGATAACCCCGTGACCGCGGAGTCATACCGACGATAACCCCGTGACCGCGAGTCATACCGACGATAACCCGTGACCGCGAGTCATACCGACAATAACCCCGTGACCGCGGAGTCATACCGACGATCGCGCCGTGATCGTGAGTCATGACGACGATCGCGCCGTGACTGTGAGTCATACAGACGATCACCCCGTGATCCGCGAGTCACAAGTTACTATAGGTACCTGTAAATTGTTACCCACTTTTTTTGTTTTTATAGATCAGTGCCACAAATGGTAAAAATTGATTTCGTATGTCTTTTTGGTAACTGCAATACAGTACTTTCTTTTCATGCACAGAAAAAAATCCCGTCTCGTCCCGTCCCGAAAATTGGGAAGGAAATAAAAATCCCGTCCCGTCCCGAACTAAAAATTCAATCCCAGATACACTACATAGGCTAACTGTAGTTTTAAAATTGCAAGAATTAATGTATCAAGAAGCAAGACCTAAAAGAACTCTTTTTATTAAGATAGGGATTTCTGATTGCACCTTTACTTTGGATATAGTACTTGGAGGTCTTAGTAGGGAAACAGTGCTGCTGTAAAAGGTTTAAATTTTGCATTGACACAAATGCACACTTTGATATTAAATCAACCGAAAAAGAACAAAATATGAAAACTTTAATATTTTAAATTATTCTATAAGGTTGTGTTGATAAATCTGCTGGATTCCAATAACTAAAACCATTTGTGCATGCATTCACAGAGTAACAACAACACTTATGAGTTCAAATATTTTGACTTTTGGATACTGAAATTGAGATCCTATCTGGATACTACCATCCGTAGCCAATATTTTAATAAACAAGAACATAGTCACTCACAGGGTTTGCTACAGTCTAAAATTCAATTTTCCCCTTATTTTTTTTACTGTGATATTGATGTGACATAACAGTTGCTAAACAAATAAGTTGTACGTTCAGTTTGGCTTTGTTTGATAGAAACTCTGTGCTTCAATTTTAACCCAGAATGTCTAATTTTACCCACATTGAAAGCCTGAATTCAGTTAATTGGTGACTTACATAATAATAATTCATATTTTGAATAATACATCCAAACGAGCAAAATTACCTTTAAAATTTAAAGTTGAAAGTTCCACGAGTCTCTCCTCTACACAGAGAGCTGTGAGGCGAGCTTCTGCGTCTTGGTCCCAACAGTCATCGATGGTTTCTCGCACAAGTCTTGTAGCAGCACAGTCTAACCAACCTTCAGGAATCAGTGGCCGCGCCTTCTTACGAGTCACCAACACTTGCATTTGCTCAAATGATGGGTGTTGACCTGAAAATATATTGAACATCAGTTTATATCAAGCAAAAATTGTATTGTTATATCAAATCATGTTTGTTGGCAAACATAGTTTCCAAGTAAATGCACAGGTGCTTTGTCATCTTCTTTAAAACTAAATAAGTCTTAGTATTTACAATAACAAAAAAACATATACTTAAAAGTTAAATAAAGATAATGTCAAGTTTAAAACTAAATAGGCCATCCTAAAGATTTAAAAATTGCTAGGCAAATATTATCTGTACGCATTTCGTACTATACACACAACTCTTACTACCTTGTTTATGATATAATATCAATTACTATTTTGTTGTTCAAAGGTTTATTATTGCGGACATTTTCCATCACGATGGTAAAAAACAATACACAACGTTTCGGGATCTGGAATCTGATCCCGTTCTCAGGTGAAAAAACTTAACTAACACATTACAAATAATAATACAACGCCCAACCTAAGTTGGAATACACTACAGAGGGTAGCAGTAAAAAAATAGGTCAAAGGATAGTGAACTTAATTGTTCAATAAATAGGGAAATAACGAGTTCTCCTCAAAATTTGCACGTTATGTTTACCTTATGTAGTAAAACTCGTGATAGGAATAAGCAGAATTACCACCCATTTCGCGGCATCTGTGCGATGCCGCGAAATGGCTTCGCTCTGTTATTTTGTTGGTTTTACTTTTCCAGGGACTGGACGCCATTTCTGTTGTCTCCGTGTTTCCCATTGGTCGGCCATGTTGCTTCAGTCTCGTTGGTGGAGTCATTGCGAACGATGCTATTAGTGTTCCATTGTGTGAGCTGTTTTATAGACTGTAGTGTTTTGTGATTGGTTATTATTTGCATGTTGTATCATGACTTGATTGCAATACAGTGCATATTTTTTGACTGCTACCCTCTGTAGTGTATTCCAACTTAGGTTGGGCGTTTGCGTATTAGTTTTTTTACCTGAGGACGGGATCAGATTCCAGATCCTGAAATGTTGTGTATTGTTTTTTACCATCGTGATGGAAATTGTCAGCAATAAACCTTTGAACAACATTAACTCACCATCACCAACAATGAACTTCTAACAAAGAATCAATTACTAATTATGGAGAATCTATGGTAGCGTATACGTAAACAAGGCAATGTCACACCAATGCATTTGAGACCCATGCATTGTTGACAGGCAAATGTAAGGTTCCCAGGTCTTACCATGAGACCTACAGTAATAGCTTATTCTAAGTTATTCTCTATATGGGAAATTTACTAAAATGATGATCTATCAATTTGACGCCCATTTATATGCTTCCCATGTTAACTATGGACTATATTTCTAAATAATAATGTAATGGAAGGAGGAAGTGTTTGGCACTGTTGTGCGAGTAGGCTGGGAGTGTTGTTAAACAGTAACATGTTGTGCTAACCTACTGAAGGCTGTTGCTTTAAGTAGGCCAGTGCACTTGATCAAGGGGTTTTGGGTGTAGTGAAGTGTGGTGTACTGGAGGACAGGGTCCTGCTGGGAGAGCCCAAGGCCAGGTAAGACAATGTTAAGGGTTTTCAAAATTGGGGCTTAGAGTATTTTCCTAATTGGGGTTTCACTTTCTAATTAAATTATTTATACAGTTCCAGTCTACTCTACCTGTTTGATGGTTATTTATCTCTGTGTTCATTGTTTTGTTTTGGGTTTTATCAAGCTGGGTTTTGTAAGGGAGTGCTGAGTTTCATTCCCGAGCTACGTCACCCAAAGTAACGAGGGGTAAACCTAAGTTAGTAATCTCGCTGCCAAATGCCTGTGGTAAAATTCTGATTGTTATGAGGACATTTGAAGACAGTTTAACCCTAGAACGGTATGCCCTCATAAATATTATGACGGCAAATAGTTCTTTTATAACAGAATGTACATTTCGGCTCTGACTGTACCGTCCGTCCGAGCCAACTTACCCCAACCGTCACTCAGCTCAGTGTCACTTGAAAAGTCGAGAGGGGTTTGTCTATTTTCGCGTCGGTGACTTAATTTGTAATTTTTATGACAGTATACCTTTCGTGTAACTTTAGGTGTAGTGTGTTTTCGTAACTTATACGAACGTATACCAATACCTACTATAGCTATGTGTATTTTAAAAAGCCTAATAAACATGTTTTACCAATTTTTTATGTTGTTATCTTGAAATCTCATAAATATAAAAATTATTTTGATTATATTTATGATTATATTTACTTTGATTATAGGTTTTTTTTAAAAAAAAATTCAATTTAGTTTGTTTTGATATTAGAAGGTTTTGAAACTATGTTTATTGTAATGTAAGTAATATTTGTTTGGTTTTTAAAACAGTTTGAAATTACATAATATGAACAGTATTAACCGAGAATTATATTTATATTTATAATGTCGTTGTTATAGAAACATAATTGAAAAGTAGTAAAATTTACAACTGCATATCAATGGTGTTACAATTTTGAGGTATAAGTTACTGGTCTAGGGTCAATGGCATTACTGACAATGATTTTGTTTTTAATACTTCTTGTCTAAAGCTTATTGAAAAGTACACTTAAGTACTGACAAGTAATTAATACACAAGAATTGATTAATTTGTAGGAAAACTACTGACTAACAGGAATGGGATTAATACAATACAGTTGCAACACAATCACATTCAAATGATTAAATGTCACTGGAGAAATACAGGAAACTAATGATGGGCAAAACCAGAAATTTTGAATCTCAAACCCAAAACAAAAACATAAATAATCAAATCCAGAATTTTGAAACTTAAATGTGAAACCTTTTACTTGCTTGGTTTAAAAAAAAAAATAGGTTAATAATAAATGTTAAATATATAATCATAACTGAAAGAAAATGGACTCATGACTTTGACATAACAACATAAATAATTGAATATGTTTGTGTGTAATGCAATTTTTAATCTTAAAGCCAGGTTTTGCTAGGCGTGGAAGAGGAGCGCGGAGCGCAAAGAGCGGAAAATAGATTAACGTGGGAGCGGAAAAGAGATTAAAATGGTGTTCCGTAGGAAAACTGTAAGATTAAATTACCTAAGACAAGTGAAATCCGCTCTCCGCGTTCCGCGCTCTACTTCAGAGGCTAGGAAAACCTGGCTTTAAAAACATGAATTTTCATAAAGAAGAAAAATCTGTAATAAATTAAACTCCAGATGGTATTAATTTTGGGTAAGGAACAAAAATTTACTTTGTGGTCAATATTTATGCCAAAAAATATTGACGGCTTGGGGGTTTTGACCCATTGTTACAGGAAACCATAAAAATTAAAGCCCTTTATAATAAATAATTATATTGTTGTTTAGTTTGTACCAAAAATTTTACCAAAAAAGTTATTCTAAACTGATAAAAAACATGGACTGTAACAATAGACATCATACACTGTTGTTTGTAGTATTACCTATTTCAGATTCAAAAGGCATTCTATAAGGTGCACATTCAACATTCGGCAGGTAAAAGTCAGAGCATCGGATTGCCAGTTCCCACAGTACTAGGCCAAGAGCATAAACATCGATCTGCTTGAGAGAAGATTCACAATCTCGCAAGTTGACAGCTCCTTCTAGAACCTCCGGGGCCATGTACCGCAGTGTGCCCACCTACTCAAAAGACACATCACAATCAGCAATCTTATACCAACAGGACATATAAACTAACCCTGAGAGTCATGTACATAAACATACATTACACAGGTTTTCATTACATATCTCACTTTCACTCGCTTACGTTAAATAATAAATATATACAAAAGAATGAAAGGAAAAATTATCACCATTGCTACAAGGGTCTTTCAGAGCTAATGGTTACATATGATGAAAGGCACATTCCTTTTGTGTTGTGTTTTTTTTTTTTTGCCTCAAAAAATATATTCGAGGGCGGTTTTTTAAGTAAGGGCCTTGTTTTACATATAAATCTGTAGTTTGCTTGTACGCAGCAACGAGGCTCATCACCATTTTCTGGCATCATTTGTGAACAGAATGACTCAAATTTCAGCTCTGTAGCTGGTCATGTAAGCATCGCTAGGTTTTTTTTAATTTTAAACAATCAAAATTCCCGCCGTGTACGAGGTAAGGTCAGTGATACGTTTTTTGATTATGAGAAACACAAAGAGCATTTTCACAGCCATTTTTAAACTCCCTAGCCTATTTCTGCACCTTCCACGCTATCAAATTCAAATTCTTTATTCACTCATAAACATCTTAAAAAGTACAACGTACAAGGAGAGGAGTTTCGTCATAATCAAAATTTAAAAAAATAATTAAAAATTTAAAAAAAAATACTATAACTAATAAAATTACACAACTCAAAATTATTACTAATGACATCAAGTAAAAGTTACTATTATACAAAACAACAAATAAGATAAAAATCCTGTTAAAATTAATGAAAGCCATCAGGTATGTATTCAACGTGAATTTAGTTTGTAAATTTAAATTAATTCTTGTCCGTTTAGAAAACATCAAAATAGAAATCATCTATTTTATAATATGCCTTTTCAATTAATAACTCGGGTAATTTTTCTAGGAGTATGTTTTTTTGGATTGTTGGTGATTCTTTTTGGTAGTTTATTAAAAATTTTTATAGCCATGTATTTTGGTGTACGTTCAAAAAGAGTGAGTCTATGTATTGGGAATTGATATAAATGTTTCTGACGTGTGGACCACAATTTTTAGGTTTTTATTTTTTAATGCTACAACCTTAAAAATTTGTCTAATTTTTTTTTTAAATAGTTTGGAAATTTTATTCCCTGGAATCCTGTAGACTGAAACAATTAGTAGATTTAATGTGATTATTTGTACAAAGGAACCCTCAAACGAGAATTCTTTGTTAAATACAGTTAGATCAACTCTAACAATAAATTATAGAGAGCTGTGAATTAAAATACAGGAACCTCCCTCCGATCTCTCCCTAAAATAGCCGTCAGCTAAACAGAAATTTGACATTTTATTCAAAATATACTTATTATCTTTTCTAATACAGTGCTCATTAATACATATAATTTTTACTTTACATTCTAAAACTAAAATGAACAATTCTAACTCCTCCATTTTCCCGTTTACACCCTGGAGATTCCAATGAAGAACTACATTCTGATTACTGTTGTTAGAAACCCTATATGAAGAGAAACTGGCCGAGTGTAAAAGCTTTTTATTTGTAACTATTCCGGACTTCAGAGAAGTTGGTTTCTCTTTGGGTTTATTCCTAAAAAAGGAAAGTGCATTTCTGCATCATCAATGTGAATGTAGTTATTGCTGGAACCTCCAGGGAGCATTCTCTCACCATTATCCACTATCTCACTGACACTACCATTTCTATTGCCTCAGACTACTGCTTCACAAAAGGAAAGAGGGCCCGGAGCAAGAATAGTTGAGGGGAGTAAACAGGCATTATTTCTAGGGATGGACGGGTCCCGAAATTTCGGGAAATTTTTGGGAAAAAAATATTCCCGATTTTCGGGACGGGAATATATTTGATTCGGGAATTTTTCGGGACGGGGATTTTGCCGCTTCGCGAGTGACGACGACGCCGCTATAGCGAGAGATGTTCACGAACACAGGAGGCGAAGTCATTTCGACAATCGCGCCAAGACCGCGAGTCATACCAACGATCCCGCCTAGACCACGAGTCATAACGACGATAGCGCCAAGACCGAGAGTCATACCGACGATCCCGCCGAGACCACGAGTCATACCGACGATCCCGCCGAGACCACGAGTCATACCGATGATAACACCGTGACCGCGAGTCATACCGACGATCATGCCGTGACCGCGGTGTCATATCGACGATCGCGCCATGATCGCGGTGTCATAATGACGATCGCGCCATGATCGCTAAGTCATACCGACGATTATGCCGTGACCGCGATTCAAACCAACGATCACACCATGACCGCGGAGTCGGAGTCATACCGACAATTGTGCCGTGACTGCGAAGTCATAGTCATTGATTTTGTTTTTCTTGTTTGGTTACTGCAAAACTCAAGACTTTCTTTAAATGTACAGGAAAAAAATCCCATCCCGTCCCGTCCCGAAAATTGGGAAGGAAATAAAAATCCCGTCCCGAGCCAAAAATTCAATCCCGTCCATCCCTAATTATTTCTCACTGCACTAGACACATACACATCGCTGCTGCATTGATGCTGTAGGTCTGACGACATCTGGTGTTGCTGGTGATGTGTCCTGTCATCAGTCTGCTGAATGTTGCCAGAGGGAAGGTTAGTGGACGCCTCGTGCTGACCTGGAGTTTGCTGCTCCTAACGTACAAGCTGCTGTAGCCTCTTCAAAAAGTTGGAGTGGGACAGACCTCTTCTCAGCCGACTGTTTACTGCCTCTTCATGGACTACTATCTTTGCATCAGGGTCATAATCTCTTGATTGATTGATAACACTGACCTTACCTCGGACCCGGTGGGAGATTTGATTGTTAAATAAAATGTAAAAACACACAGCAAAGTGTACATGACAGCTACAGAGCTGAAATTTGTGTAATTCTGTCCACAAATGGTGATGAGCCTCGTTGTGGCGTATAAGCAAACTACAGATTCATATGTGAAATGAGCCCTTACTTAAAAAACCGCCCTTGTAGGATCATGCATCTGTTCAGGTGTACAAATACTAGAATTGGTAACAAAGTCACCTGTTTAGTAGCTATGCTATTTGGATTAACAATAATGTGACAATATGAGATATTTATTTATCTTAGAGCATATTTGTAGCTTGAAAATACAATAACATAGAAAATAGTTTACCTGCCAGGATTAACAAGACAACTCCGTAACAGACATAGCGTACCCAATTGGGTGCTTATCACGCTTCAGAGTAAATATACTGTGTCTAAATCTTTAGGAATACACCTGTCCTATTAATTAAAAGACATTCATATACTCAATTGGAAGCAAAACGAGAATGTTTTAATTCTATACTTTGCACAACTTGGAAACGTCCTTGGATAATTTCCAACACCAAAGGAGATTGACCCCTTTTCTCGGTACACATTTTGAAGATATCTGTACTCACATCACTGATGGACTTGGTCTCTGCGTGTTGCTCCTCGCCCAGAGTGTAGTAGTGAGAACCACTCAGTTTAATAGCCAATCCCAGATCACAGAGGCAACAGGTGAGGTCTCCCTTCACCAAGATGTTGCGTGTGTTAAGATCTCGGTGGCACACACAAGGCTTGCTCATGTCTGAACAATCAAAACAATGCTTAATGTTTCAACTTGAAAAAGTCCATATATTAACTTGAGTACTTATTCCTATTATATTACCAATTGAAATGGGGACACGTCCGGTTGTATCAAAACCCAAATATAAGAATAAGAAGAATATATCTATTTCACTTGAATGTATATAAGTGAAGGATGAGTGTAGAATGAAGTGTGATGTCTTGGTTTTGTCACTGACAAAGATCAGCTGTTTTTTAGCCAGGACCATTTATTAAAAGCCCAATGATTAAGGGAGCCATCAAAGATCAAATCACTAAGAATTGAGGATTTCAATGCCCTTTGGCTCTTCTGATTTTTATTCATTTATCTCATGTGTATTGTTAAACTTTTGTTATTGGTTTCTACTCAAATTACGTAAGTCCAACTATACATTTTTTAGGAAATTGTATGACTAATCCATTGATACTTCAATTGTAAAAATCTGTTATTAAGGGGATCAAGGGGATTTCAATGCCCTTTGGCTCTTCTGATTTTTATTCATTTATCTCACGTGTATTGTTAAACTTTTGTTATTGGTTTCTACTCAAATTACGTAAGTCCAACTATACATTTTTTAGGAAACTGTATGACTAATCCATTGATACTTCAATTGTAAAAATCTGTTATTAAGCAACTAAGATATTACAGTTTTTTCCAGACCCTGTACATGAATTTTATGATGTGTTGTTTTTTGCCCATTGTTGTGCCACTCAGCGTCGGTGAGGCACGGCATTCTGGGCTATACACTGTCTCACAAACATTGTAATATCTTGTTTATTTATGAAATATTGCTAGAATAGTCATACAATTTCCTAAAGATGTATTCTCCAAATAATTTTTAGTAGAATCACTCGTTTTAGACTTAGATAAGACTTGGTACAAATAAAAGGTCTGAAACTTTTTGCAAAGATTGGTCCTATCTGTTACTACTTATGTATTAAGTTTGAAGTCAATTGCTTCAAGGGGTTCAAAAGTATGTATACATTTGTTAAAGTCATAGACAGATAGACAGAAAACCAGGCATTTATTAGACCCATGTTATTTCATAATGTTTTACTTAAGAGACAAACACAAAAATCTTTTTAGGGGTTTTGTGAATGTGACAAACTATTTGAAAAATGTCAAAACTATGCAGTATTGAAGTTTTATAAATTATTTATTTTTCCCATATTCAATCCCATATATCTTATGGCATATGTGTATATGGAGCCACCTCAAATTCGAATCTAGACCAAATTTTGACAATACAGAAGCAATCAATTAGAGCTATGTTAAAAATGAACAAAGATGATTCTGCTAAAGAACACTTTAAACGTTTAAGGATCCTCACTGTTTATGGTTTGTATGTTCTTGAATGTATTATGTTTGTCAAAAACAAAAATTTCAATCCACCAATTAAAGAAAATAATCATAACTACAATACACGTAACAAAAATAATTTTGTAATTGGAAAACACAAATTAGAGCTCTTCAAAAAAAAGACTGTCAATGCAGGAAATGAATTTTTAAAATTTATTACTTTGAAAATTAAAACAGAACAAAAACCCAACATTTTTAAAAAACGTCTTAAGGAATATTTAATGGACCTGTCCTTGTACTCTTTTGACGAATTGAAAATGGTGTTATCATAGTTTTAAGCATTCGTTTTAACTTATTTGACACTATTCATGTACAACTATGTATACTATGAATAAAGATTCTTGACTATGACTATGACTATGACTATTTTACCTCCTTTGCGTGTATCGGTATGCAAGAATGCCAAGCCCTTAGCTATAGAGAGAGCCATTTGACAGAAAGTGGTAAAGTCTAGGACGTGTGTCCGGATGTAGTCTTGAAGACATCCATTGGGGCAATAGGACAGTACTAGAAGACATTCAGCGCAGTTAGCATCAATCATCATTTTTTCACTGCATCCTGTAATAAAACAACATTTTGATTAATGGAACAATTTTTAACGTTAAAATGCTGTACCTGTGTAAGCAACTACTAATATGCTAAGGTTTTTGGCCTCGCCCACAACTCACCATCCCCCCCAGTGACCTCTACCCTTTGACTACTCCAATGCAGTCTAGGATGTCCAGCGTTCTTCTACCTTGCTGATTACTTTATGCCAACATTCTTAGTATGGAATCTAGTTAACTTCTGTTTACATGGCCTGCCCATCTTGGTCTTTTGCTTTTGATCTTGGCAACTATGTGAGGATCTTGATGAAGCACTCTTAATCTTCCATTAGTTTGTTTGTATTTTCCTAATTCTTTGAGGATAAACTAGGCCAAAAATAGTTCACAGAATGTTGTTTTCTGATGTCTTTTGTGTCTAAATTTTTCAAATACTCAGGGCTTTGTTTAAAGCACTAAACAATTTGTTGTCGCTATTGGCAGTTTTACCTGAGTCTTTGTAGTTTGTACAGTTAAGAATCCCTCAAACAATGAATATGGAAATATGGATAGGTAATTTTTCCCCCCCTTTCCTGTCAAAAAAAGCATGTGGCCTATGATTTTAAAATATATTTGTAGATTCACTGTTATTAATTTGAATGGTTTATTTTGATCATAAGTTCTCCCACCTCAAACAGAGGCCAGAGAGTCAGTAGGAGTGTGATTTTTTACTAATTAATCGTTCAATTGTGGACATTATTTTCTAAAATCTTAAACTTTAATTCATATTAAAAGCAACATGCATGCTTATCTGATTGATATTATAAACCAACACAACTAAAGCTATGCAGTTTGAGAAAAAATCCACAATTGTTTCACTTTGATCTTTTTTTATTCATTTATTCAATTACAAAAAAATCTAACAAGAATCAATGAATCTAAATAATTAAGTGTTTAAATTATAATTACCGAAACCCTACCCAGGCTGATACTAACCGAAACCCTGGGCCTGTGAGACCCCGCTTTTAAATACACGCTGGGCTTCTGAGACGGGCATGTTATGAACAGACAACCTGTCAAGATCACGGCACACACGCAAAATATACAAAAAAATACATCAACAGGTAGGAGAGAAAAAGGGGGAAGGTATTGGGGGAATGGAATCCCCCAAGTAAACAGTGTTGCCAACATGTTTATGAAAATTCCCGTGGGCCTGTCAGACCGGGGTTTCGGTAAAAGTGTTAAGATCACAATTGCATGCAAAAAGCAACCTTATTAGAAGGAAGCTTTACCGAAGTAAGTGAGGAGAGAAGGGTGGTCCATGAATGGAAGGCAATAAATATCACGCTCATTGTAGTAGTACTGCTTGTAAGCGGCTGGGAAGACTTTAATGGCTACTTGTTGGTTCTCTAAGTAGCCTGTCCAGACTGTTCCGTAGCGTCCTTGACCTACGACAAACATTTAATAAAGCTGTAGTAAATCATACAATCTATAACCACACTGAAGTAGTTCAGTGATTTAAAGAAAATGTTAGCTAATGAATAAATTTTATTTTCCTACAGTCACCTGACAAATTCCTTGCACTGACCTTGTAGAGAAAGTTGCTAATTGCAGCATTTTCTTACTTTAGGTTAGGTTAAATCCAAACATTGAACAAAATGGGAATCACTGCACCAGCTGATCACTGTATATTGCTTAAATTTTGTACATTATTTTGTTTTGACATTGCAAATGATGAGAAGTTTTGTTAAGTGTAAGCAGTGTGAGACATGTTTTGTTACTGTAAATTTGGCCTAAACTAGTCACTCCAAAATCATTCTAAAAATAACACAAGTCTCAAAAATTGGTTTTTGATACTTAACTAGTAAGTCTTGTTTTGGACTGATAAATTTGGTATTTTTGTAGGTCTGGAGCTATTTATACCTTGTAGTTTATAGGTTTGATCCTCTCATTTATCAATGTAAGCCAATTGAAAGTTTCAGTAGGCATTTAAATCTTACAAATGTTTATTTGTTTACACCAAAACATATCTTTATTTGTAAGATCAATATTATAAAATAGGTAACATGCTCAACAATAATGATTCTGGAAGTAAAAATTATGAAATAGGCAAGTACTTCTTCTTCTAATACTAATATATGATTGAAAATAAATATTTGTTCACCTAGAATTCATATATGCCATATGTATGAATATGCCTAATACCACATCAACAAAAATTTTCATTACACAAAAATGTGGTAAATTTTAATTATTGTTATTTCACTCCATTGACAAGTATGAATAGAAAAATGCCGTATTGCTTTGAAACGAGTTGCATCGATTCAAATCAAAAATATTTTTAATTGAAACGTTGGTTCAAATGTAAAACTTTTTGCTGCTTCGTACACCTCTAAAATAAGGAAAGTTTAATCATATCAGAGGACAAATGTATTATTTACAATTCAAAGACTTCCAAGTAGAGATTGAATGATATAAAACTGAACTGCAATAAATATATCACGAACCTACGATAGCAGATAGTTTAATGTGGTCAAGAATCTGGCCATTGTTGCCTCTATGAGCGTTTTCCATCAGATGGACAGAATCCGGGGGTAAACCCTTGTCTGGATCTCTCCATCGACGTGAGATGGCGAACAGAGCAACCAACACAGCAACCAGAGTCAAGGAACAAGCCACCAACACTACCAACATCTCTCTCTGGGACAAAGTGTTCACCGCAGCTGCAAAAATCCATCAACAAAACCAGTGTCAACAAACGACAAGAAACATTCTATTTTTCCAAACTAGTTGGACTATTTCCTCCAATCAGAAAGAGTAATCAGGGAAAACATGTAATGAACCTAATTCCTTCAAGTATTATTACTATACTGCAAATGTGATTGTGTTATTCTTGCTGTTACACAATAATTCTTTTCAGTTAACAATTTAGGTTTTAAGCTTAGTAGTACAAATTTTACAGATATTCTGTTTGGCAAGAAGATGTTCATCAAGATTATTACAAAATTCAACAATTTTCTTTAAAGCAAATTTGCAACAGTCTGCTGAATTATCATCACAATTTTGGGCAAACACAATTGTGTTGCAACATGTGACAAATGTAACTACAGCTTAAACCCTAGTCATAGCTCAGGCAGGGTTTCAACACTGAGCAAGTTATACACTATGTGGGTTCTAATACTAACCTGGAGAACTGGGTAATGTAAAGTCGTGACTCATCTCCGTTGAATATGGCCATTCTAGCGGTTCTGAATGGTTTTGGTTGCACAAGTCCTCTGTGCAACAACAGAACTTGGTGTTGTTCAGAGCCTTGGTTTGTTTATGAGTGGCCATACACACGTTTGATCCACACTCATCCTTTCCCGAACTTTCCCAACATCCTACAACAAAAATAAAAATACAAAATTAGACACATCTTAACTTAACATATGTTATAACATTCATAAAAGAACATACATAGCTACAGAAATTTAGATAAAACTTGATTACTGTTTATGACCGATAACTTTGAATTGATTTGTAATTCAATATTTAGGTTTAGCGATTGGTTGAAAGAAAATAGTTAATTTAGTTATGCTTGTTTACACCGATGGGTTTAGTTGATAAACTCAGGTTTGGTTATTGGAATCAAATATGAAACACAATATTTTAAAACTTGAATTGCAGTTCATTATCATGGTTTTGAACTAAAGCTTACAAACTCACTGTTTCTATTTTATAATTTATAGAATAAGATCTTAACATACCAAAAACTAATCAAAATGTTAGGAAACCAGTATCGAGAATTAAATGTGTCAAATGTATTTTTTTTTAGAAAATGGTTATTAGTGAGAGAGCTTGTGGTGAACATTGTCATTGTAGGATTGCATCTTATTGCCACATTGCCTGTACTAAGTATGTATAACTAATTTACATCCTTAAATTGGTTGTATACAGAACTACAGAACTACAGAACATACATAACATACATAACTACATGAATTTAGACAAACTCGTTATATTTTATTTCTATTGCTTAACTTTAAAATGGTGGTTAATTGTGATAATTCAGATTAAGGAAAGATGTTCAATTTTATTTTGAAGGAATTAATTTATTGTTGAAGAACTGTTATATAACATTTAGTTTTAGACGTGCCAACCCAGCAGACGACCGAGAGGTCATTGCTGTAGCGCATAGGCACGTTCCCTGCGTGGGACTAACTTGTAATTTGTATTGAGAATTTTGATAATAAAGCGCTTTTTCATTTCATAATGTACATTCTTGTATAGTACTGGCAGCCCCTTAATTTGTAAGACCATTCCAAGCACAAACCTGAGCTCATCATGGACAGTTGCCAACCACTTAAAAAAATGTTTAAACTTCTGAGCTTTTAAGCATTTATTTTTTTTTGCTCTTCCTTCTCTGGTAGACACCGTTAGCCCAATACTCTTCTCAAAACCAATAAACTTTACATGTGATATAAGTATAAGTATAAGCTAAGTATAAGCATAAGTAAGTACATGATATAAGTATAACTTACAGTAATACAATCATGTTTGTGATCAATTAACTAATTTATTTCATATAATTTATTGTTAGGCCAAGTTACAAAACAATTAACACATTCGCTGCTGAAAACCTTTAAACAGGCGCTCGCTAATTGCGGCGAGGCCCGGGCGGAGCCCCGACGCGCTAACTGAATCAGCGATCGCCTTTGGTATTGAAATATCTCAGTAAGACGAATCACAAAAGAGCAGTGGTGATTGTTCTGCGTTACTCCGAAAGTGGACGTAGTTCACTGAAACACCCAAAGGTAGCAGCACTGCCTGGATCAATAACCAGAGTCTTTGTAATACGGCTCGAATTGAGATATCCCCGAAAACGGGAAAAAAGCATTGCTAGACGGGATTTTACGGGCAATTTTTGTACCAACCTACACCAGAATAAAGCTCGCATTATAAGCTACAGGCTGGTAAAGATTACAACGTTCCCCGGACAATGGCTGAACCACACTGATCCGGCAAACAATGCAATGCGCGCTCCCCCACCGGTGGACCCCCCGCTCCTCAACTGAGACGCGCGGGGTCCACCGGTGGACCCGCCGCATCGAATGTGTTAAACAAGTGTCTCTTGACTGATAAATGACAAACAGTGATCAACAATCAAATTCCAGCGAATAGATTGGTTTTAGCGAATTTCCCTATAGGGAAGTAGCTATTACCGTAGGTGGCACGGTAAGACCTAGACCCGAGACCGATTTACTTTTTCATTTTGATGTCCCCAGAGGCCAAAAACACCATTCGTTCAAATTTTTATATATGTATATATATATATATATATAGACATATATATATATACACGGCCGCGCCCGGGAAGCCAGTCACATAAAATATACACTGGAAGTCAGTCAGTTGCACCCCCCAATATATTTCAAGACTATGATATATATATAATATATGTTGGTAAATATCTTAAGCCTAGACATATCTGAACGTATATATATCTTTTTTTCTTAAAAATACTAAAATATAATTACGTAAAAAATGCTATGCTAATGCAGTCACCACAGCATTTGCATGGGAAAGCCAGTCACGTAAAATTTGTGCTGCTAAGCCAGTCACTATATATTTTACCGCATACCACTGGAATCCAGTCACTGAAAATCCACCCGGGTATCCCGTCACTTCAGTCACTTTCACCCCTGCCCTTTTTCTTTGTGATATTTATTTGTTCTACAAGCTTGAAAATCCGCACCTCAAACAAATGGATTATGCTTCAGGCATTGAGCACTCTCATAACCCATCTTTCGCACTTCATTTTAATTAGTTGTCTTCCAGATTACTTAACAATTACTATTCTACAGATTAAATACCTAAATGTCAATGTAATCTTTGGTCGTCTTAATAGTCGTCCTGGCAACTGTGGATACAAATATGTACCGTACTAATTCGCAAGCGTAAGGTGGGAAGTTATTGTTTTATAGTCGCACAATTAGGCCTATTGTTGAGTCCTTGGAGGCAAGCAGCCATCTTGGATGATTTCAAAAAGCTGCAAAATCAAACACCAAAGTGTTTATAATTTAAATAGCTAGTATACTGTGGGATTAGAAATGTTCTTTGTAGTTTTGAATTATTCTCCAAGGGAGTCCATAAAATAAGTTAACGGTCACAGTCATCTTGGAAAAAGGCCAACTAATACGAAAACAATATCCTGTGTTGCGTGGGCCGTAGCACACAAATAGTTTTCCCGCCTCAAACAATCAAAGGCGTGTGGAACAAGGCAAAATTCTTGTCTCTTTTGTGGCGAGAGGTAGGGGCGAGCCTAACGGGTTCCATTGATGGGCTACCCGGCTACCGACCGACCTGGGGTAGCGACTAGCGAGCCAGTGGATGGTTAAAGGTTCTGCCGGTTATTTCCATCTTATTGCTGGTTCTCGAGCTTTTTGAGCTCGTTGTACAGTGAAATATTACTTCCCTATTTTATATAGCCACAATCAAAGCGATTTTTACAAGAAAGAATGAAGATATAGACTCAGTGATGTGTGGTTACTTAATTAAATCATGTTCCTTGATTGTTTACCCTTTTGTAAGAGCCAATAATCAATCAACTTATATTTCTTTATTTTTCTATTTATTATCTATATCAATTCAAAGAGGTAGCCCTGTACCTGGTTAACAAATATACCGATTACATTTAACGTGTTTTCTTTGAGTTACGCCCCATGGGATTCCAAAGTTTCACAATGTTTACATTTTTGAAGAATGTAGATAACAGAATGTTTAACGAAGCCAGCTTTAAATGCTGTCAATAAAGTTCTTTGATTTTGCGGTCCAAAAGGTAGAAACGATTCGATTTGTGAAACTTTTAACTTTTGCTACGGGCCTGTTAATTGGAGATTCTGACATTCTTAATTTAAGGAAGTAAACGTATTAACATGACGTGTTTGGAGTGGGATTTGAAATATGTGACGTGTATCAAACTTTTTCTCTTCAAAATCCTCTCCGATGTAAAACACAGGTACGGCAGCTAGGTTTACTAGAATTCAAAAGTTTTTTAATTGTCCTCCAATGTTTAGAAATTATTTTTCGATCAAGTTGTTTAATGAATAAATAATTGTTTTGCCAAATTATGTTTCGAAAACAGGAACTAAAAATAGATCAGGAAATAGATATTTTAGTTCAGAAAACAAAGCCAATCAAATAGGCCTACGTACTTTTTAAATAAAAACACTGGTCAGATGGTTTTTAACATTGCTTTCAATAAATTTCTAATAAAAATCACCACAGGTACTAATCTATATAAATAAAATTAGAGTTTTGTCTGTACATTGCTCAGAATCATCAACTTTTAGATTATTTTTACGTTTTAAACATTCAAGAATCCGAAAAAAGTTTCATCTCAATTCCGTTATTATCTCAATCATCAATTATTATCTCAATTCCGTTGTTGTCTATCTTCCGTCTGTCACGGTCCAAAGGCCATTTTACGCGGCCTTCTCCTGAAAACGAGAGTACCTATCAAGATCCTCGAATCATTTTAATGTATTCACTGGATTGGCGAAAGTGTCTTTAGCTATTAAAATATGGCCTCGCTACTTTGTAAAAAAACTTACGGACGTTTAAAACCCAATTTTGTGCGATTTTTGTCAAGTTTTCTCACAATGTTTATCACATAATCATCATATGAAATAGCGAACAGCTGTTCGGATCAAGATTATTTTTCTCTAGCTGTCACTGATATGTTTACATTGAATATTGTTTACAAATACCGCAATCATTTCAGATCAAGTTTCAAAAGCAAATCCAAACCAAGTTGGATTAAAACCGTTTTTCCTTACATAACGGATTTAATTAATCGCAAGTGCAATAATGTGTAGGGTAACCGTAAATGAAAATAGAGCTTCTTTGTGTATAGAATTTCTATCGAGTTTTGGGTTTATAACCGGGGAAAAGACTTTGACTCAGTGTTCTATATGCCTGGGAAACTTACATTTTTTACATAAGCGTTACCAATAGCTTACATATAAGGTTTCAACTCGTTGACGGCACTTCAATGGTGGTTGTGTAAAGTGTTTAGAGACAACTGCAGTGGGTGATTGTAACAGAGGTTTACGGATTATGCTCAAATCGTATTTCTAATGTGTCTTCCCAACGCTATGTGCTGCTCGCTGGACCATACGTCCAACAGACCAATTATCCATCTCTTGGGTTCGTAGGCTTAAACAATTATTCATAAGTTGGTAGCGCATATAACTCAGGCTTCCGTACGGACAGGACAAGAGCACCTTTGATAGTGAAATTTCCAACCTGAATGTTTCATGGCGAGGTTGAGGTATAGTATTTTAACTATATATCGTTTGGTTAGTTAGGTAAGGTTAACCTAACCTAACTAAGCAAACGA